AGCCCTAAACTCTAAAGCCCTAAACCCCTAAGCCCTAAACCAAACAGCCTGAAGCAACTCGGTGACCCAGATTCCTCCCTAACCTCTCCGTAACAAAAGCCTGCGAAATCGCTAAACTCGCTGTACACTCCTGGAAACTAACATGGAAGCCCAAAAGGGGCCCTATAAAGACTACAGTCCCTCTACAATGGGGCTATATGGGTTTCCATGTTAGTTTGGGGGAGTGTAATACACCCTAAACCCCTTATAGTACTTTCAAAGGGGTCAACAAATCCAAGTGTGAAGTAAGCCACTCCCTCGAAGCACACGGCCCTGGGATGTGGAGCTCACAACGAGAGCTTCCTCTTGCCTGACACCAGTTTGGAATCTCTCCCCTCACCCAAACCCCTGGGAGGATCTAGAAAGTAGCTCCCCCCCTTAAGGGGTCTTAGGAATTGCTCAATAATAGTATCGGGTACCAAATTGGGGGCTCTACTTTCCAGATCCTCCCAAAGGGCTGGGTAAGGCATAACCGCAAATCCTAAATCCTATAGCCTTAGGGCAGAGGCCGATTTGGGGGCATTCCTGAACTTCCTCAGAAGGAGCAGACAGGGATGATTTTTGAGGTACTCGAGTGTGGCTTTGAGGAAGGGTTCAGGGTTGCGCAGTCTTATGTGTGAGGTTCTGTGAGTTGCACGGCTTGGGCTTTCCTAGTCTTCGAGTGTAGGGCCATAGGGGCGACGATTCAGAAATCAAACGTTTTGGGGCCCAAGGTCTGCGCTGGGATTGCAGGGTTCAAAGAAAATGCAGCGATATCGCGATCCTTTTTCATCCCTTGCAAAGTCCCTTGAAGGGTGCAAGGTGGCCAACCTAAACAATTCTAGACACTCTACAGCAACCCTAAACTGTGATCCCCCTATACCTATAAAACGACGTTTATTGCAAATAAAGCCTCAGGGTATACTGGCGAAGTTTTAAACCTTCTTATGGCAATCGCCCAAGCTCAACACCCTAAACCCCAAACCCTACACCGTAAACCCCGAACCCTAAACCCTAAAACCCTAAACCCTAAACCCTAAAACCCTACACCCTAAGCCCTAAACCCTAAGCCCTAAACCCGAAAAAACCTGGGATCTGACGAAGCCGCAAACATGCTGAATCCCGAAGCCCTAAATCCTAGACTCACACCATCCGACCCTGGGACCAGGGCTTAGGATTTAGGATTTAGGGTTTAAAATTTAGGGTTTAGGGGTTTAGGAGTTTAGGGTTTAGAATTTAGGGTTTTAGGACTTTAGGATTAGGGTTTATCCACCCCAAATCCTGAATTTCAAGGACCTTAACTTAAGCTCTTCAGCCATGGCCTCTGCTGTTCGCTGCAGGCGTCGCCCCCTTTCTGGCCCCGATAGCCGCTAACGTTGCCTAGGCGGTGGTAGGTGCAAGGAATCCTTTATGGATTAGGGTTTAGGGTTTGTAGGGTTTAGGGTTTGGGTCTAGGGATTAGGGATTAGGGTTTGACGCTTAAGGTTGACAAGGTTTAGGGCTTAGGTTTTCGGGCTTAGGGGTTCACGGGTCTAGGATCTACACTTGTACAGGGCTTATGGCTGCGGTTCTGAGGGGAGGGGAAGGCAACGGGGTGAGACAGAGTAGTTTATTGGGAATACTTGGACCCCGCAAGTAGGTAAGACAACACCCCCGTGGCCATTAGAAAAAAAACAAAACAATTGTTACACGCTGTGGGGGCCTGAAAGACTACTATGATCATGTCGAGGTTGTTCTAGAGGTACCCTAAACCCTAAACTAAACCCTAAAGCTAGAAGCATAATCTTAGGAATAACTTTGCCGAATACAGGGCTTAACCTAACCTTGTCCCTGAGTAACCCTTAAACCCTAACTCCCACGCGCACACTAAAAGCCCAAACCCTAAGCCCTGAACCCTAACCCTATGAATCCTGTACAACCTTTAGGTGCGTTTAAGGTTAGAAGGGGAACGAGCTCCGGTACCGACTGTGAAGCAAACAGGGTCTTGTGAAGTGGAACACCGCACAGATGCGCTGTGGGGTTTGGCTGTAAGGTTTCCTAAGCCCTAAACCCTAAACCCTATACCGCTTAAGGTTTAGGTTTGCATGAAATACTGGAAGGCTTGTGGGACCTCACGGTTCTGACTGCTTAGGTTTCAGGGTAAACCCTAAACCCTGGTTCATGGGACCTAGAGACTAACTACTTAGGGCTCAGTATTTGGGAAGGTTCACATGACCTAGCAACTGGTGAGGAGGGTTTAGGGTTTAGGGTTGTGGTTTAGGGATTAAGGTTTAGGGCTACCTGAACACCAAAAGTAGATGAAAAAAACAACACAAACCTTTAAAACAGCCCAAAAGGCAACCATTCTACATACTTTTGGGGTTCAGGTACTATCTATATATGAAGTAAATGACCATTCAGGGTGTCAAACTTGAGGTGAAAGTGCCATAAACCTGACAAGCAACCCACTCTGCCCTGCAGAACCCTAACTCCGGGTGCTCCAGCCCTAGACCACACGGTTTAGGGTTTAGGGTTTAGGGTTTTTAGGGTTTCTGAACCCTGAGCCCTAGAAAACGACACCTACTTTGGGCCCCAGAGTGTGTAATCAATACCGTGTACATTCAATACCTAGAGTCCCCCTGAAGAAGATGGAACAAGGCTTTGGGCCTATTAGAATAAGATACACATATACCCCATATCTATCTACTTAATTAAGGGGGACTATACGTTCGGCCGTTTGGACCTCTAGGGTTCGCTAGCAAATAAGAAAAAATGCCCACTGCCGCTCGTAGAAGCCATGCCTGAGGGTTTAGGGTTTAGGGGGTATTGCAAGGCTTCGTGGGGTAGTATGGAGGCTGATCCTGAAACCTGCATCCTCTACTCCCAGCCCCAAGAATCTGAACACCCTCAATGTCCCTATACGTCCTTACCGGACACATGGGGAGCCCTCAAGCCCACAATGTCCTATGACTTTAGGTTGCAGCAGGCCGTCATTCAGCCCACAGCCTCTTATGTACAACATCTTGGCCAACAGTTCTCGCCGAACACCGCATGGGCTACATTTTGCCACCTGTCTAACTATGCCACAATCGAACCGTACTGTTCGCCCTTGTCCGACTGTTGTCCACACTACAGCTGCATGACTTCCATGTGGACCTTCTGCAAGGCCATGCTCATCGAAGTTGCGCCATTGTTCCCTGCCTTATCCTTGCCAATCCAAGTGGCCTGCCTGTGACGCCACGAACATCTGACTCACGCGAAGCTCTTCGGCCCCATCTTTATCAGCATCAGCATCTGCCTAAAGCAGCAGGCGAACGACTTCCAAGTGGCCGTTGCGCGAGG